GTGGCCATGGCTGCAAGGGGACCCTGCAGGCGTGGGGAGCAGGGGAGGGGGGTGGGCAGCCCGCTGGACCCTGAGCCCTGGCTCCCGGTCAGGTGGGCAGCACAGCGAGCCTCTCTCCCCCCTTATTGGGCGGTGGGCTTCTCTTGGGCGTGGTCTAGTCAATAGTGAATAAGCAGATTAGCCCAGTGTGCCCTCAGCCGTGACGTCAGCGTTATCGAGGCCAGGATGTTGTCTCAGGTGGAGCTGGACAGGCCTAGGTGAGGCGGGCGTTCCCAGGCCGCAAACGGGCAGCACGGCCCAGCTCCCACCCATGGCCAGGGCGGGCGCGGGGAGGCTGGGCCAGGGTTTGCTCTCCTGGCCCCCTGGTCGTGGGCAGGCGGATGAGACCTGGTGTTTCTCTCTATTCCGGAGAAACGGGACCGTGGCGAGGGAGGAGGGGTCAGGGCTCGGAGGGCCTGGGGGGCTGGCCAGGCTGGGGGAGGGGTTGAGTGCCACGAAGCTGGAGAAGTCGGAGCCCAGGACCAGGGGTCAAGCAGGCCTCTCCCTGCCTGCCCACCCCGAGGGCCCGCCTGCACTCGGCCAGGCCCCCAAGACCCCCACAGTGCTCCAGGCCCTTGGCCCCCCTGCTCTGACCCTTTGTCCAGGACGCCCTGCCCACCCTGGCCCCACACCCGCCCTGCCTCAAGCCTCAGCTGAAGCGCCCCCCCATTCAGCCCTCTGTGAAGCCCTCCATGTCCCCTGCCCCTTGATGCCACGGCCACAGACGGGGCAGTGGGCTCCAGAGGCTAGGCTCCCGGTCAGGCCCCTGGCCAGGCCGGCACAGCCCATACATCCTGGGACCTTGGTTGGGCGGCTGCCCCTCTGGGCGGGGGGCCCGGGCCGAGGCTGGCGCAGAGCCAGGGTGGAGTCCCCAGGGAAGAAAGCAAACACTTCTTTGTCTGAAGCTTTGGCTCCTGCTTGAGGGGCACAGGGGACAAAAGCCAGCAGGCTGAGGAGCCTGTAGTCTAGACAGCCCCCACTGCGGGCAGCGGGCTGGGCACTTGCTGAGGGGCCAGAGGAGGGACAGCCGAGGCCATTGTCCTGGGCTGAGACTGGGCTCCAGCCTGCTGCCCCTCCTCCCCCAGCGGGGCTCCAGAACCCCTGCTCGGTGGGGACGAGCCACATCAGGGACCTCCTCGGCCCTTCCTTCCTGCGCCGCCACCTCCTCCAGGAAGCCAGCTGGACATGGCCCCCTGAGGTCCTGTGGGATCCACCCTTGTCACGCTCACCTTGAGCTGCAGCCCTGTGTGGCCTGTGCCCCCATTGTCGCCAGCCCTCTGTGTGGTCCAGCGTTGCCCAGACTCCCCTGGCCCCCAGAAACCCCAGCGTGCATCTCGCCAGTGGCTGAGCCTCCCCTCCCCACCTGTCACTCATTTCCTCTCTGCACCCCAGCCCGCTGGCAGCCGGGCACCAGCTTCCTGTCCTCAGCACACCCTCCACGCCCCTCACGCTGTCCTTGTCCAGGCGAGCACACGCCTGGCAGAAATTCTCAGTGGCCCTCCTCACCAGGCCCCCTCTGTGCGGCATCTGCAGACATTCTGCCCCCGTCACTGGCACCCCACTCTTACTCCCTCCTCCCCCCCCAGCCTCCCCCTCCGGATTTAACCCTTCGAAGGCCATTCCCCGGGCATTGCTTTCTCACTGCTGTCCCCAGCTCCGAGCTGTCTCAGGAGCCCTTCACCTCTCTGGGGAATAACGATGTGAAGAAACAAGCATCTGTAATGATGCTCCTGGACCGACCCCAGAATGCCTTCCACACCTGCCCTCTGCCTCGGCTGCGGGAACGCTCCATCGGCCTGGATCCCGGAGTGAGGACAACATGGCCGGCCCGCGACAGACATGCTGCGTCAGCCCCGAGTAAGCCTGTGCCAGTTATTTTTAAGTAAGCCTCAGACTTTTAAGTAACTGACCGACACACTAAGCGACCAGCGAGCCCGGGGCCTGCAGAACCCATGGCCCCCCTCAGCGGGGAAGCCTGGGGGAGCCACGGCAAAGCCAGCAAATGACAGGCCAAGGAAACTAACGGGGTGCGGCCCGTGCAAAGATTCATTAGCTACTGGAAAAGAAGCGCTTCCTCTGAGGAGCAGAGGGAACGTGATTTTGTAAGAAGAGTTATTACGGGGAAAGGAAACCTGTTTTAGAAAGCGTCTGTTAATTCAAGAAAACGCTGACTCAGGGAAACGCGGAGCAGAGACGCATGGAGAGGCATCGGGCTGGGGCGACAGAGGCGTGGGTCCACGCCGGGTGACGCGGGGAGGGGACACGGGGCCAGGTGACAGCCGTGGGAAAGGCACACGGGCAGGACGACCAGCATGACACCGAAGAGCTCGCGTGGAAGACACAGGACGTTCTTGAGAGCAAGGAGGCAAAGGGCAGAGGTCACGCTGGTGAGAGGCTCCTGTGGGTTTGGCAGGGTGGCTCCTGTCAGACCGACATGTCTGCCAGCGGAGTCGACAAACTCGGGATGAAAGACTGGAGAGCAGCCCCGTGGGTGCAGCCGCGAGGAAGCGAAGCAGGCGGGGTGGGCCCCGTCCAGCTGGCTGCCCCCGAGAGCCTCCCAGTTTGCAGGCTGGTGGGGTGCAGGACCCTCGCTGGGCTCAGGGGGGCTGAAGGACGAGAGCGGGGCAGAGTCCGGAGGTCGGCTGACCACGTTAGAGCTGCCTGACACCCCCTGGGCTTTCCGTGAAAGCCCCCCAAGAACCGAGCTTTGGGGGCTGGGTGCCAGGTCCCAGGATGCGTACGATGCCCCGGAATGACTGAAGCCAGAGGTCAAACTGAGAGACCAGATAACAGAGCCTGAAAACAACGCCCTGGGGACCAGGTGGACGCCCCGCCCGTAACTTTAGCCACTAGCACAGAACGGGGCGCTGCCCCGAGGGAGACGCAGAATCGGGAGTGTCCGCCGTCTCACGCACAAGGTCCGGCGTGCGGTAAAACCCGTCGATGTGGTGACGTGGCCCATGACCGACAGCACACACCGGTCGCCCGCGTCGCTGCCAGGCACGTCCGAGGCGCCTCCCCGCCTTTGGAATCATCGACGTGAGTTCTCTCGCTAAGGCAGAAACGGACCAAAACCACCACCCACAAGATAGCGAGCACACCCTCACGCGCTTGAAAGTCCAGCAGCGTAGTGAGCTCTCTGTGACCCGCATTCAAAGAGGTCGCGCTGAGGAGGGCAGCTGACTTCTCAGAAGCAGTGGCGGCCCGGGATGACCGAAAGCGGCCTGTCTGCAGTGCCAAAGGAGGAAAGCTGGCAACCAGCGTCGACGCGCAGGTCTACAGGGAAGAATAAAGAGTATTAGACGTGGCAAGTGTGAGGGCGAAGAGGAATTTAAAAACTTTGAGCTTTTTCACCTTCTTTAAAGGAGTGTGGACCGTTACGAGCCGAAAACAACTCATCGCGGGGGTTTATGACACACACGGTCATTGCGTGCCCAGCGAGGCGGCAGTCACGGCCGCGGATAAGTGAGACAGGTCGTTCTGACTCCACGTCACCTGGCCCGGCCTTAGCTCAGGGGACACCCGACGTGTTCCGGATGAATCCAGCGTACGAATTCAACTCCTGGACATCTACTCAAAAGGAATTTAAAAGTGTGTCTACAAAGAGACCTGTACCAAAACGGTGGCTTTGACCGATAATCATAAACGACTGGACATGACTCGAGAGGCAGGGGAAATAAATCACGGAAAACCACCCAGGAATAAAGAGAAGAGAGAGGTGGACACTCGCCACGAATCCCCAAAACGCGTCGAGCGAGAAGGGCCCGACGCGCAGGCGCCCACGTCACCCACCGGGCCATCCGTGCAGAGTCCCGGAACGGACAGGAATGAAGCTGGGCGACAGGGCCGAGAATGGGAACGAGCGTGGCGCTGACTGGGGTCCGACGTGCGGGGGTTTTGGGGTGATGGAGACTGTGGTGGCCGGTCTGTGGGTGCACGCAGGTGCCAAAACTCACTGACTATTAACTTGAATTAATTTTATTGTATGTAAATCATATGTCGATAAAGTTTATTTTAAAAGATAATGAAAAAAAAGTTAACTGAAAAGAAATCTGGAAAGATGAGCAGAGAACAGACGGGCGAAACATAAAACGTATTGCAAGATGGTAGACGTGACCCCGAGCACCCCGACTGCGTAACGGGACCGAAGGCACAGGGTAGAGGTGACCCCGAGCACCCCGACTGCGTAACGGGACCGAAGGCACAGGGTAGACGTGACCCCGAGCACCCCGACTGCGTAACGGGACCGAAGGCACAGGGTAGACGTGACCCCGAGCACCCCGACTGCGTAACGGGACCGAGGGCACAGGGTAGAAAGAACAC